GGTTGAGAATGCTGATGATGCCATTAAAAGTGCCACCAACGTGATGAAAGCGGGATCGCTGGAAGCCCAGCGCAAGGCCTTTTCAGAACTGAGCACACACATGGCCGATTTGGTGAAAAAGGCTGACATAAGCGCGGGCGCAGTATATGTGGAGTTTTGCCCCATGGCCAATGGTGGCGAAGGTGCGCACTGGCTGGCCAATGAAAAGCAGATCAATAACCCCTACCTTGGCGATAAGATGCTGAGGTGCGGCAAAGTAAAAGAAACCATTAAATAACTAAGACCTGCGGGCACGACATAAATTTTGGTTGGATTAAAGTTCGTGTTTGTGCCCGCAGGCACTAATTATTAAACAATGAAAAACTCAGTTTTCAGATTATTGACCGGTGGGTTCTTTTTGATTGCTGCCCTTGGTTGCAATACCCAATCTCAGCCGGAGAATGAGCAGGCAAAGCAGCCTGACGTAACACAAGCCACTGATAAACAGGATTACCAGGTAGGCGACCAGGTGCCTAACGAGTTGGTCTGTATGGTTAACGATGCCTATATGGGCAAACCTCAAATAGCTGTTCCGGTAAATGGAAAAACCTATTATGGCTGCTGCCAGATGTGCGTAAAAAAGCTCAATGAACAAGAATCAGCCCGCACCGCCTTTGACCCGCACAGCGGTAGAATGATCGACAAGGTGGATGCTTACATCGTGCTTTTGGATGAGCAGGGCACGGTTGGGTATTTTGAATCTCAGAAGAGTTATGAAACCTTTAAAAGTAAATAATAGCTGATTGGGAGCATTAAGTGAATAATGGTAGAAGTGATGGCGAAATAGGATTTATCCTGTAATGCCATTAAGCAATCCTGATTCATTTTTCTCAAAAAAAGATGTAATTTTCACCAAAAGATGACAAATGTCATGGTTTTAAACATTGAGAATTAGCACTTTTGAAGCTGTTTGTTAAAATGACTGCAAAAAGCAACATATCGAGAAAAGTAATGCTTTCGGCCTTCGGGTTGCCGATGCTGGGAGTGTACATGCTCAGCATTTGGTGTGGACTGGGCAATTTTCTGGCTGAATGTTGTGAGCATCATGATTCGGGCCAAGTGGAACATCATGCCGCAGTGCATGAGCACACCGATGATCACCACCACGATAGCCACCATCACGATCATCAATCAGATGACCACCATAATCATAACCACTCCGGCCATCATCAAGAGGATGATCAAGGTGATGACGGCTGCTGTAGCGATGTTACTACCGCTTTCTTTCTGGTTTTCCAGCAACAGGTTCAGCCTTATACAGTAGATTTTCAATCGGCTGATAATCCGGTAGCTCTTTTGCCGGTATTTGTCAACCAATACCTCCCCAATGTTGAGGTTCACCCCCTTCAAAAATGGTTGCCGCCTCCCAGGCCTGCACCATCGGCTTTTAAGCTTCGCATTCTCCATCAGTCTTTCCTGATTTAGACTTTCTTTTCTGTTAGGGCAATTACCCTCTGCGGCTCGTATAATTAGCGATGCACGTGCTCATTAGAGTATGCTGTAACTGCAGTCCTGATGAGGTGGTTGCCCTGGGGTACATATCTGTGCCTGTGTGGTTCGTATGGGCATCTTTCTTCATTGGATATGATCAGGGCCACAGTTTCGGTATTATCAACTTACAGAAAGCATGAAAGATCAAAATCGTATTACAGAAGAATTCAGGGTAAAGGGCATGATCTGCAGCCGATGCCTCAAGGTGCTCAATGATGAGCTAAGGCGGGCCGGAGCAGAAATCTTGGAAATAGAACTGGGCCGGGTAGTGATTAACTACTCTTCACAGAAAATAAGCAGGAGCCATATAGAGCGGGTTATTCGCGAAAACGAGTTTAGCCTCATATGGGACAAGGAAACCCTGCTGGCCGAGCAGACCAAACGCTGGGTGATCAATTACATCTGGAATACAAATCTGGAGCAAAAGCTCTCTGGGTTCCTTGTTGATAAAATGCAGGCGAACTACGGGAGCTTAAGTAGGAATTTTTCCAGGGTTTTCGGGAAAACCATAGAACGCTACAGCCTGCTGCTAAAAATAGAAAGGGCCAAAGAACTGGTGGAATATGGTGGAATGAACGNNTGAGCGAAATAGCCTATAGCCTTGGTTATCAAAATCCTTCAGCACTAAGCAAACAGTTTAAAAAAGAAACCGGTATGAGCCTGAGAGAATACCAAAAACTGGGCATTACCAGGCGAATACCGCTTGACAAAATATGACAAGTATTAACCGGAATAAAGCACATATAGCTATGCACATAAGCATATACTTGTGTGGTCAAAACAACAAATCAATAACCCTTTAAAACGTAAAATTATGTGGTTTGATGGACATCATTATTGGGGAATGCACTGGATATGGTGGATTCTATGGATCATTTTTTTGATATGGATTTTCGCAACGCCCTGGGACGTGCCCGGACAGCGTACGAAAAAGGAAACCCCTCTTGACATTCTTAAAAAGAGGTATGCGGCCGGGGAGATTGACTCAGAAGAGTTTGAAGCCCGGAAAAAAAATCTCTTAAAAAAATAAACACAAAAGTTTAAGTCACCATGGCAGATAATAAAGGTATAAATACAAAGCATTCCTACCACATTCGCGGTATGCATTGTGGTGGTTGCGCAAAGGCGGTAGAGCAAAATTTGTCTGCTCTCCCTCAAGTTAAAACGGTGAAAGTAGATTTGGAAAAGAAGCTGGCACAGGTTGAATCGGAAACTCCTATTTCCCTAAGCACGCTTCAGGCTTCACTGGAGAATACCAGTTATGCTATTGAAGGACCGGTTAACTGACAGTGCAGGAAGGTAGATAATTGAGGGTCTGATCCACTTTTCCATTAGGGGGATGGAAGGCACCCGGTACCCCGGTTAAGGAAATGAAAGCAATGGGGTACCGGGTTTTAACAAAATAGTTCAAAAGCATGAGTAATGTAATAAAAGAACACGAAGTAATGGCCGGAAAACTGAAAGCTATAGGCCATCCTATGCGGGTGGCATTGTTTCACCTTCTATGCAATTGCGAAACGGAAGGCCTTAGTGTTAAGAGCTTGTATCAGTCCCTCGGTATCGATCAGCCTACTACTTCACGCCATCTGGCGGTAATGCGAAATAGCGGGTTAATTAGCAGGCGGATTACAGGTGGACAAACCAGTTACTGCCTTTGCTTTAATGACCCGTTTGTGAAATGCCTTTCTGGTTGTTTTATCACTAATAATAAAATTGAATAATTATGAAAAATCATTGGCTTTGGATGCTGCTGGCTTGTGTGGCCCCCATCCTACTCATCTTTTTGTTGCCCTTTTTCGGGATAACCTCCGATCTGACTTTCGCTTTGTTCCTGGTGGTCTTCTTTGTTGCGCACCTCTTTATGATGCGTGGCCA